TACCGGGATGGTGTCCGGCGGGGGATAGTTTTTCCCATATTGTAGTTAAGTTGTAGTTAAGCATAACCTTCAGCTATAATTCCTGGCCCCGAAACCTTGACTCAGAAGTACCGGGTTGGTGTCCGGCGGGGGATAGTTTTCCACCAAAGTTTTAACTGTTGTTTATTTTGTTGTACTGTGATGGTTACTTTTGTTGTTGTTATTGTAATATGTGATTGCAGGACCATATTGTAAAACAGCGGTAAGATCTCGCCTGTATATGTTATCCTGCCTAAAGATGTTTTAAATAAAAATAAATAAATATTATATATTGAGCATCATGCGTAGCAATTATGTTACAGTATTTACACAATTTATGTGAAATCACGTATCATATACCTATCTGGCAGATATGTACGGTATTGGGAATCCATGCCCAATTGTGCCTAAATAAACAATTTCACAACATCTGTTAAAAAAAGAAAAAAAAAACTGAGTGATCATTCCTAAACAGTAGAGGTGATAAAATAGACCAGTAATTGTATGGAAAACTTGCCAATTATGATTTTTCAGTTCCGGTTTACGGATACAGGAGCATCAGTGCCAATATTCAAATGAACAATAATTTTCTTTTGGCAACTTTTTTTTTTACCTTTAATTGGTTTGCAAAAATTGTAACTTACTCTAACATTATGAAATATGATTATTATTTAAAATTTGTGGCCATTTTTTTCAAGTTCAGTATAGGCCTATTATCTTACTCCTTTTATTTTTTCATTCGATTCGTCATGCCTTAACTATTAAAGTTCTAATAATCGGTTGGTGGTGTAAAAATCCAATAATCTATAGAAAAACCCGTATTAAACACAATTCCTTTTTATATTACTTGATTGAGGGAGGGGTTTTAATGCACTCAGTGAGAAATGTCGACTGTTTTGCTGTCACCCTGATAAATTTAGGCCTATATGGGCCTACTCATTGATTGTCTCATGAATTTATGCACTGACTTACATACATATTGAACATTAATTTATTATTCCACTCTAATAGTTATCCAAGCGAACTTTAATTTATTACTCCACTCTAATAGTTATCCAAGCATTGTATCAGATTGAACTTTTCCAAAAAAATATATAGGCCTACAAATAGCTCAACACTGTTCACTGTTCCCTGCCATGCTCATAACAAACAGTACCGTACCCCTTGTCATGATACTAGCAAAAGCTCTGCGGGAACTATTTAAACAACGCCCTCTAAAATAATTCTACTTTTTCTATACAGTACACTATGTATATCTCAGTCATATCTATTCTATCTCAGTTTTATCCCTGTTTATATGAAATTGAAATATTTCTCGGAAATATATAGACATTGTTTATTGATTTGTTTTGCTGATTGTGGCTGAAGTGGCAAAACGGGCAAATCTTAAAAAAAATAACCTATTAGCCTGGCAACCAATTTTTGCGCATGCGCTATTGCGTTCTCTTTAATTTTCGTCAGTATACAGGTAAATAACAGTCGCGAAAGTGGTTATGGATATCTGTTATATTCTCGTTAATCGATGTAGTTTATACATAACCTTGAACATTATTTTAAACTAATTTACTATTTAGAACCATAGCATCCGACATTTTTCTAACTATACGAATTTAATGATTGAATATGGACATTTGAAAAATAGACCTCTGAGCGGCTTGGAAGGAACATAAACATGTTGTCACTCAAAACATTTGCTCAGAATTAGGCCTATGCCTGATAATAATTGAAACAATAAACATGCACTTACATTCCTTAAGACCATACACTAGACATTAGTGACGTTTGTATTTCGCATGCTGCCTAAAAGACATGAATGTGTACATGAAAACGTCATGATGTGTTTGGTTTGTTCTGCTGGGTAGGCCTACCTAGGATAGTCATTGCAAGCTAGGCAGCCTACCTACCTCTCGCTGCACAGCTGAGTGTAGGCCTGGGTAGGCTAAGGAGCCTTTTTCCAGGGTGTCTACTAACTACTGTAGGCCTAGACCTACCTTTTAAGGCCTAGGCCCCATATCTATACCTTGGCCAGCTTGACAACTTAGTGGTACTTACTAATCTAACATATCTGATGCTATAATAGTAGTATTCAATGCTGCAGTTAGCTCATGTCATGTTCATAATATTATTAATAATATAAATTAGGCCTATAGGCCTAGGCTCTTGTCTGAACAGTGCTAATTAAATACCAACCAAGGTAGGCTAGGCCTAGGTCCTACAATACATGTAGCCTTATCATTTGACAATTATTTTGGCACTAATTTACTTTTAAGTTCTGTACCATCCATGCCTGTCCTAAACCTTAACTTCAGTCTTCCTATCTTAATGCACAATGCCTTTCTTTATGGCATGTCATGTCAAGATGGTACATTACCTAGGCCTAGCTAGAGTAGAGAGTTCAAGTGCAATTATCGTCATTATTTTTTAGCAACCAGTAGTGGTTCCAACAGATCGGGAAATATCTGATTATTGCTTTGAAATTATTTTTTTCCCTCCTCACTTAGCATGGCTCCAAGAAAGGGAAAGCAACAGAAGGAAGAAGTTCAAGTTCAGCTTGGTCCACAAGTCCCAGAAGGCGAGAATGTCTTTGGCGTCGCACACATTTTTGCGTCATTCAATGACACCTTTGTGCATGTAACTGATTTGTCAGGAAAGTAAGTATCAATTGCACTAATGACACACCTGCCACTCAGAATGACCCAACATATGATTTACATCATGACCCATGTATGTAACATTTACATATTTCCCAAATTACAAGACCTAATGCTGTTTTAAAAACTTTTTTAAACCCCTTTAAAACAGTTATTTTTACTACAGTATAAGTGATCAATGTTGCTTACTTTACACTAATGTGTATTGATAATAAGGGAGAGTTATTCTTAACGCTAACCTTAAAAAGTAGTCACTATATCTCTCATGGAAATATCATTAAAATTGGGGGTATAGGCCCCAGACTGTAGTAAAGTAAGGCCTACTGAGAATTCTCCATGCAAAATTTAGGTATAAAAATGTTCGTGCATTTTGATAAATATGGGCCGATTTCCATGCAGATTTTGCTGAAAATTTGGCTTTGACTTATTCTAAGTATGTAACTATTGTATTATGTATTAGTTATGATTCTGTGCACCTATTTTCCTAGGGATTTTCCACACAAATTTGAGCTAGTTTTTGAGGTGTCATCTGAACAATTACAATACATTACAGTATGGTATAGGCCTACTTTTCACATTGTAATTATCCACTTTCATATTTTGGCAACTCCAGACTATAATCCAATGCCTTGCACTGTGTAAACAAACTTGACTTGTTACATAAAATTTAGCAGTTTGCGTCCATATTATGAAGTTGAATTGCAAATTGTACTAATCGTGAATTTGTCTTACCCAGGGAAACCATCTGCCGTGTGACTGGCGGTATGAAGGTGAAAGCCGACCGTGATGAAGCTTCTCCGTACGCTGCTATGTTGGCAGCTCAAGATGTTGCAGCTAGATGCAAAGAAATAGGGATTACTGCACTTCACATTAAACTCAGGGCTACTGGTGGTAACAAGTAGGTGTCCTTTCTACTTCAAACACCTTCCATTTTGTTTTAGCTTGCAATCAGTTCCCCAGGCTGAAAAGATGTGTATTCGTTCCCTATATGGAATACCTTGCCTGTGGCAGTTCCTGATGGTAATACAGTAACATCTCCAAACCACAAACCTCCCATTTACAAACTCGTGATTTTATGAATCAAATTTGCAGCGATGATGTCATTACGAACGATCGTTTTTAACCACAAAAACACTTTAAAATGTATTTAAAAGTCTTCAGAAAGAATCTAAATTGTTAAATTAGCTAAAAGAGAAAACATTCAAACCAATAATTTGATATAAACTATGTTTAAAGCAAGAAATATCAATCGTTTTCAGCTGAGATACTGTACATTATATTTGAACTGTGCATACTTGTTCAGGCATACTGAGAGTAAATCTCGCTGTTTGATCATTGGGGTCACTATTCACATGGATTCACGATCTTTATGGAAAGAATAATAACACTCGTTTTGGGCATTTATGGTCATGTTTTCATTTTGAAATCACTTCAAATTAATACTTCACAGTGAGCACAGGTAATTTTGGCTTCTGTAATGTATTATTTTGTTGCAGAAAACAGTAAAATCCAAGTCATATTTCGTGACAAAATTTTTCTCCCATTGCATGGCTTAGGCCTACCTAGCCCTGTACTTTGTATCATGGCCAAGGCTTACCCTCACCACACTGAGATACTGAAAATTCAAACTCTCTGAATTATAAATTTTTTCATTTTCGAACCCTGTTCGGACGGAGGGGTACGTAATTGGGAGTGAGATGTTACTGACCCTGTACTAGTACATTTTCCAGGATGGCAAACTCCTATTTAACGGTGTAAAACCCATTTTTCATGGTGTCTATATAGCATGAAGATGTTTGTCGCTGCTTTTTCTTGCAACTGCATCCATAATTTCTGTTGATGTACCTTGTGGTTGTTTAATTGCCAGTGGTGCGTTTTCTCCGTTCCCCAATTTCCTTTGACTTTGGTGGACTGACTACATGTTGTTTCTTCTTTGTAAATAAAATAAAATAAATATATTTGAAAGTTGCCTTTCCATTAAATATACATTTTCTGAGTCGATGAAAAGCAAATGTGTGTGATGTGTGTTATTCAGTGGTTTAACTTAATGGAAAATACTTTTTGAATTCTATCAAACAAAGACTGTGAATTTTTTACCTACCGTACCACTGTTATCTCCTTTTATATACTCGTGTTTCTTATTGCTTTCATTCTGTTTCTCCGTTAATTTTATATTGTTTTGTCATTGATGTGTCTGAATGGGCCCTTGATGTAGCAATGTGGAAAGTGCTACCCAAAAATATTGTTGAATAAATAAAATAAATAACTACAGTAACTAAATAAGCTAAGTCAATTACTATTCATAGTCTATTATAGATTAATCTACTGTAATGTGTATGTACTGTAAATGGTTCTTCAAATATATACTGTAGACTAAAAGTTTTTAAACTTGCATGACAGTTTCAATCGCTGACAGCTACCATTATCAAATGACTAGAAGAACCATTTACAGTATACTAATTCATCTAAAGTCTATGATATTGTATTGTAATAAATATTACATGTTACTTTATAAAAAAAAAAGTACTAAATGTTTTTTTGAGTTTTATTTTTCATGTTACTTTATATTTACCTTCTCTAACATCATTTCTACTGTATTTTATATTCAAAATAACTGCCCCAGAGCATTTGTTGTCCAGGGTGGTTTTTGAGGGATGTTAATTTCAAGAAGGCATTTTGTTATTTGTTCTCTAAAATAAATACATCAAATTTATTATGCTCCTTTATTTCACTGTAAATTATTGTCAAAAAGTATTGTCTAATCATGATAGCTTATAAATCCCATGTTCGGAAGTATTCAGTTCTAGAGTAAAACAAATAAAATGGTTATGGTACCGTTATTTTTGTTCAAAGCTATTTTCACGAAATTTGAAATGAAAATTTCCGATAACCTGGCAACAACCACTGGGGACTTTCAGAGGCCTAGCATTTCGCTCTACGTAGTTATCATCATGGATTAAATCAATGATAAAGCTAAATCACTAACGAGCACAAATATTTCAAAACTGAAAAAACATGAAATGTTTATATTAGGAACAAGTCTAAGTCCTAAAAAGTTATTTCAATGTTTACATATAGAGCAATTACAGTAATTATCAAGATCGTATCCATTGTCTACTGCTGCTATACTCTAGCAAAGTTTTAGCGGTGCTATCCGCTGCGTGTGCTCTATTTGTCACTCCAGCTGCTCAGGCTAGGCTGCTGGAAGTCCCCCAGTGAGTTGCGAGATGTTGGCAGTGCTGTTTCAAAATAAATCCGATTTTAAAATGGTCTATAGTCTAGAGGAAAAAAAGGTTAAGTGTATTAATGGTTTTGAGGTTGCATTTATTCTCCAAGTGGGGTATTTTTCTGTTTGATAAATAGAGTATATTTAATATTATTTTAATTTTCATTATTCAGAACAAAGACTCCTGGTCCAGGTGCTCAATCAGCCCTGAGAGCTTTAGCAAGGTCTGGGATGAAGATCGGACGTATCGGTAAGTTTGAACGTCTAATAACAGAATAGTATTTAAGATAAAGTGTCTCAATTAAAATTTTGAAAAAATAGAATTATGAAGTGCATATGTAATAGGATTAAATAAGTATAATCTAATGAGACACATAAAAATAAAGAAATTCTTTCCAATTGATTATCAAGAATTTACTACAAGAATTGTATACTTGATGTAAATGCTGTGATTAATGCAATTATTGTTATAAATAAATTCATAAACATTCTGTGTGGAAATATTCCTCCATCTATTAACGAAATGATTTATATTTTTATAATTGAATGATCAATTAAATAATCAATATACTAGACCTTTTCTGGAGTGTCAGTCAAATTTAATAATAATAATAATAATATTTATTCGGCAGAGTAAAAAGTATACATACAATATTCTTGCCAGGAGTAAGTAATAGGCATAAGCCCAAACAGTAAGCTGCTCTTACTCCATCATCAAAAACAAATACAATGACAA